AATCGGAACACCGGAGAAACTGTGACCAAAATATTATTTAATATCCCCACCGCCATTACTTTCGGCGGGGACTGTATGTGTATTTTTGTGAGTTTTTGTGATTGTCGTAATATTCAATAATAAAGTATTAATTGGTAGCGGAAGAAAACCTCTAAAAAGAAGTATGGAAAAGAGAACCAAGATACGATGCACGATGAATAATCGTTGGTTCATGATCTAATTGATCTTGACACAGCTGTTCACGTTAGTCCAGCTTGATTATCTATGAAAATTGCTGAAAAAACTCCTGAAGCATCATGCCAATTATCTAACAAATCTCAACAGCAATCTGCAAAGTCAAAAAAAAAAAAAAAAAAAGCTTATCTAAAGTTTTAAAAGCTTCAATATCATCTTCAACTGGTAAACCTGATGCAATGATCACAGATTTTCCATCGATATCACCCAAACATACAGGTATGATAATGATGTGTTATAAGCTTTTTTTTATAACATTTTCTGATCTATCTGAATAGCAATTTACAATGAAGGTATCAAGCGTAAGAAACTAGAAGCTTTTGATGATTCACAAACAAAACGTGAGTTTTTTTTTAAAATCTATATCACTTTTATAATTATAATTTATATAATATCATATTGTAATATTCATTCGTATATATAATGCGTCTAGATATTAAAATCAATTCAAATGCTCAATCCATCCTTGAGAAAATAGTCGAAGAGCAGCTAAAACAATGCATAATGATTAATACTCTACAAGAAAGCAATGATGAATTAAAACATAAGATCTTTGAAAATCGCAAGCTTTTACAAAACATTCTTACTATTTTAACATTAGGATTACTAACCATAATTAATGAATTAACGTAACAAGAAGGGAAACTGAAACAGCGCTTAAAGAGAAAAGATACGAAATATATGTGATGGGATGTTAGTATCAAAATTTTTATTAAAATAATATTTAATAATTAACTCTTTTATTTTAGACTCCAATGACAAAAGCATGTCATCAACTATTCCAAGTAAACAAGAATCCATCAGATCCTGATATTGAACAAGCTTTCAAATCACAAGTTCAAACGGATTGTTCTCAAAAGATGCAGGAGCTTATCATTTCAAACGAATGGATCAATTTATGGAATGCTAGTCATTCTATTGTATATATTTTATTATAATACATAAATATCATTATCACACTAATACAAATTTATAAATTTTTATATACATTTTATATATAGATGTTAGAATACTTTCGCAACCACAGGAGTTCTTATGTTCGAAAAATAAAAGATGCTATTTATATCTTCTTAAACTTATTTTCTTACAAATTAGATCAATTTGCTAGTCCTGAGGAAGTTAGATGTTGGAAAAATTCGGAAAGAGTTAAAAAAGCAAGACACAATCTCTGGAATAAAATGGATGATAATGATCCAGATTCACCATTTGTCATTGAGGCTATTTTACAAAAAGCATTTACTAAAGGAGAATTGCAAAATCAAGACAATATCAAATTTAGTATCACGGTAGCACTGATGTTTTTAGATCTGACTTATAATCAGGTTGAGATTTTGTCCTCAAAAGTACAAGAACGTATGAACCAATGGGATTCTAATCCAATTATACAAAGATGGGTAAGTAATTGCTAGTTGATTCAGGTAGTTTAACTATTAACAATTTTATTTACATTTAAATTTAGTTTAAATGTAAAGAATTATTAGAAGATGACGGAATAGAAGAACCGTTAGAAGATGGTAGAATAGAAGAACCGTTAGAATATGACATAATGGATCATAATGGTAACAAATCATTTGTACCCTCTGATAATGAGTCTGAGAATTCTAATGGTCAAGAGAGCGATTCATAAAATGCTGGGATTGGTAATAGTAGATATTGATTAAAAATTAAGATTTCATTTAATAATAAAAATGTTATTTACATATTATAATTTATTATAATAAAATTGTAAGCGTTGATCTGTTCTATTGATCACGTGATATATGCAAGTGTTAGTGCGATGATCACGTTGACATATTTCATTGATAGCATGATATACGCAAGTATTTGTGCGATGATAATTACGTTGATCGGTATAGCCTTTACAGAACAATGTATTTTGACGTTTACATTAAACAATGCAATAAATTATGTTTATTTAACATCCTGATGTTGGGTTAAAGGATTCAATTTTCCAGTCCTTCTCACCTCTTCGCCATGCAACAGAACTGTATGATATACTTCTTAAAGAAGAGCTTGTTAATAAACCTGTGCTGTGTCTTTATACGGATGGTAGACCAGATCATCATTACACATATGCTTGCGTTCAACTCTTATATATTTGTCTTTTTCTTGCATTGGAATTTGACTATTTTGTTGCTGTTCAGACTCTGCCACAACATTCGTAGAAAAATCCTGTCAAACGTATTATGTCAATTCTGAATCTAAGGCTACAAAGCGTTGGTTTAATGCGAACAAAAATGAATGATCAATCAGAAAAATTAATAAAAGGAGTTAGTACAATGAGTGAAATCTGCAAGGTTGCTGAAGAAAATCTTAACTTGAAGAAAGATCTTATTGAAAGTCTTCAAGCTCCAATTCATTTGATTAGTGATGTGTTCAACCGCCAGTCTCTCAAAAACGAGCTTTTTGAAACCTTTAATGTAGCATCAGAAACAGAAATGGAGAGATTTTGGAAAATAATCCAGCTTGTAGATAATAGTGTTACTTATGAAGACCATATTGCAAAACATTTAAAATGAAGGATAAGTAAAGTTTTGATCAAATTATTTATGCAAAAAAGAGAAAATAACCAACTTATCTTTATTGAAAGCCATATTTGCAAGAATTCTTGAACCATTGTTGTATGACAAGGCATTATTTTTTTTCAATCAAAAAATGTGGCGAATCAGCTTGTACCATTTGTCGTCCTCCTCGTTGTTCACGAATAACTATATCATCTTCTAGACCTAATACCTGAAGAAGACTTGCATTACAAGTCATTTGAAGAGTTATATGGTAAGCAAACATCAGAAGATTATAGACCTTCGCTTAAGGATGCTAAGACAAAAACAAAGAAAAGCAAAATGAAAATTAAAAAAGCAAAACATAATATGCCATTTTGCCTAACTGCTGTACGTGCAAAGAATGTTGGTGTTACTGTAACTTATGTTGAGTGTGAAAAGCCACGCCTTTTGTTTATTGTAAAAAAACTTTCTGAAAAAGACAAGGCAATATTACAAAAATTCTTGAATACAATTTTCTACACTTGTGGTATGTTATTTGTAATACATGCGATCTTGCAGTGGCCGTATCGCCAAAACGATCAGACATAAATGATGATATGAAAGATAAGATTAGTCATGATAAAGAAGCTGATGATCAAGAAAACATGGATAAGAAGGATGATTATGATAAAAATGAACAACACAAACATGAAGACTCAGATAATAAAGAGTTTGAAAATATTACAGAAGAAGAGTCTGATAATAATATGGAGGATTCTATTCGTGAATTGTTTTTAAAAGTCTTCGTTAATGACTCATGATTTTGTGAATCACAAGTTGAGAAACTATATTATTCAGCTGGGATCTACCCAGACACTTGCATTGAATGCAGAAACTTGAACGTTACCAAACCAGCAAAAGGTAAGCTTTCACGTTGTAATGGTTGTAATGATAGTACCACTATTTCAAAGAAGCGTCTAAAATAGAAATAGGGTGGTAAAAACAAGGAAAAGCGAAGACTTAATTAACTCTCCCTAAATTTCTTGTAACTGTGTTTAAATGCTAAATAAAATATTTCAAATATTGATTATCAGAAGGCCGTACAATCTTAATCATATGATATCAAATGCAACATTTTTATTGGTCAATAATAAAAAATTATAAAAAAAAAAATTCTAAATCCCGCTTTTGTTGACCCGGTCGGGATATGAAAACCAATAATATTACTTTGTCCCGCCTAATATATATATAAATTTTTTATTTAAATTTAACAAAAACTGATTCAAATAGCTTTAATGTAAACTATAATTATTAG